GCGTGGTGCTGACAACACCAAGTCGAGGGTTAAGATCCCCTTACCGGTCATCTTTTAAAAAAAAAGTTCTAACACTATTTCTGTGCCCTACTTTGGAGATTACTGGGTTATAGAGAGTAACTTGTAATTCTTACAAGACTGCATTAAATCATGAGCAACAATGACTGACCAAGATCATTTCTCCACTGAAGTTGTGCCTGAAAGAATGCTGTCAATTCATTATAAATGGCAGGGAGGGAGGGACAGCTCCCAAGAAAAACTCCCATTACCATATACCCACTCCCCAACAAACACTCAGAAACAGTGCAAGGTCATGGTGCACACCAGGTCTCCCCAGGGGTACCAGGTTTAATCTACCTTAAGTGAAAAATAGTAAACACAGGTTTTGTATGTTACATTATATCTTAATTCTCACAACAACGTTGATCGTCACTATTCCCATTTTACTGATGAGGAAAGGCCAGAAAGATTGACTCATCACACCAAGATCACCTGGAGTCAGAATTCAAACGCAGGTCTGTCAGAGCAAAACCTGAGCTTTTCACACATGTCCTGAACAGATGCTGTGAGCACTTTAGGGATACAAAACAAAGGTCCATTCTGTACTTACTTGTAATATACTGTCCATTTCTATACCACACCTATCTAAAAATTTTATTTTACATTTGTTGTTCACTTATTTGCTGTCGGTTTTCCCAACTATGATATAAGCTCCCTAATGCAGTGACCTTGGTGGTCTTACCCAGCTTAGAGCAGTACCTGACATTTAGTAGATACATATTTGTTGAACTAATGGCATGCCGGTATGGTTCAGGGAATTTTTAAAAATTTTATTTCTTAATTTACTTATTTTTGGTGGTTGGCTGGTACAGGGATCCAAACCCTTGACCTTGGTGTTATAACACCTCACGCTAACCAACTAGCCCCCAGGAAATTTCTGTGATGGCATCACTTAGCCTTTGAAGGGCAGAGCATCCAGAAACCTGGGAATGGCAAGGCCTCAGAAGACTAGGGCTGCTAGTTCTTCCTTTTTCCTCACTTGCAAATGACTTCAGGCTAGCCTCCTACCAAATGGAGGAATGAGAATAGCATTAGTCAATAGTTATTATTTATATGGTGTCCATTTTATGCACTTACCAGATGCTAGGTCTGTAATAAGTATCTTATGTAGAGGAATAAACTTAATATTCACCAGCACCGTAATGAACGGACCATCTCAGTCCCATTTTACAGATGAGGAAATGGAAGCACAGAGGGGCCGAACACCTCTCCCAAAGTCATGTGGCCAAGCAAGAAATGCTGAGTTCACAGGCTGTGCTCGTACCTCTAGGCTAGTTTGGTAGCAGTGTTGTCTTAAAGTTACAGTTACCATCAGAGAGAACCCTGGACAAAGGATTTTTGGAATTCAGTAGCAAAGCCATTTTGTCTTAATTCTATAATAAGTTCCATTGGTAATCTTGGGCAGCTACTAAATTCTTAATTCAGTGTGTGCGTGTGTGTGACATTTTTCCCTAAAGTCAACTTTCCTCCTAATTGGATTTTGAACCAAACCATCTCCCTGCAATTCTGCTCCGTTTTCCCTCTGAGCTAGAAGCTTTTGGGAACTAGGGCTGGGGAGTGGGGTAGGGGGCACATTTTTCCCTAAAGTCAACTTTCCTCCTAATTGGATTTTGAACCAAACCATCTCCCTGCACTTCTGCTCCGTTTTCCCTCTGAGCTAGAAGCTTTTGGGAACTAGGGCTGGGGGGTG